TGCCGGGCTTTGCTTCTGACGAGTGATCTGTGAAGGAAAAATTGGGCCTCTTCCCTGGTCTCCTGCAGCTTTCTAATGGATGAAATACAGTCAGTGTACAAATGGAAATTTTTCCTAAACACTAGAAATCTAGGTAACATTTCCATCCTTTCAGGACACAATTCTGTATTTTAATAAAAAACATTATCCTTTAATGAAGCATAGCTGGGCTGGACCAATTCCTTTTCACCCAGGGTTGCCTCTATCAGGGCAGCAGTATAAACTGTTTGGGGGAGAGAGTCAGTGAGGTCTAGCATGAAGGGTTAGAGAAAATAAAAAGAGACTGTGGCTCAGGGCTTTCCGTCCAAAATCTGATCTAGATGGAGAGGCTTCTGGAGGAGCTGGCCCTGCACTGCAGTGACTATATGTGTGCTCCTCACCTGGCTATCAAGGAGAGAAAGAAGAAAAATGCTTCTGTCGCTTTTCACTGGTGTTAAAGCAAGTATCAAAGGGGTCAGTAAGAGTCTTTCACAGAGAGATGGTAACATCATAGCCTTCTCTGGCTGTGTTGTCAGCATGTGTAATCCTTTGCCTCACTAATATCTTTGCTGGATGATCTTCCATCAACTGGAAGAAAGATTCTGTCATCGTCCTCACTGAAGTGCTGCCCTGAACTTTGTCTCTCAGGCAAGGGTCCTGGTTCAGTGCTCCAGCTTCCCTCAAAAAGCTAGGTGAGCAGATTTTCTCTATCCCATCACTGCTCTTTACCTCTGATCAGAACTCACCCTGCCCCATCCCCTTCCTATTCCTCTCTGTTCCATGTGGCACTCCTCTTTCCCTAGCCTGCAAGATGCAAAGCCCAGGCTGCTGCACAGACCCAGGCCAAGACATCTGAGCCGCCCTGCTCCTCTTGGCCCCCAACATGTGGGAGTTTTTTAATGAGGCTCTGGGGCTTGCTTAAAGGTCACCAAGGAACAGGCTTTGGAGAGCAAGGATTTTTCCTGGTATCTTACAGAAAACCACAGTAATGCCAGCTGGACAGCATCAATGGACTAGCCATTGCTCTGCTGGTTCTTAATTCTCAAGTCACCCTAGCCTTCTGCTATGATCCTAAGGCTCTTAAGTAAGAAAACAGAATGGAAGTAGTCCTGGATTTCTCAGTATTTTTGGGTTGGCCAAGAGCAGGGTGCTTGGCTGTAGCGGGGACAGCTAGCAGGAAACCCTGGAGGAAGTGGAGCCTGTTCAGTGCAGTTGAACACATGACTCTGCTTCAAAATTACCTTGCTGTGCTCTGGAGCACCATGTCTTGTGTGTGGTGATAGGATTGGTCCCTTCCAGTCATACCAGTGACGATCTCAAGTTTGTGCCAGTCTTACCCTCTGACAGGGGTGAAGTCTCAGCCCATCTTGAGCTCTGGATGGATCCCTGTAGGGTGGAAATGATACACTGGGATGCTGCAGCTGATCAGTGCTGTGCAAGTAGGAGGTTGTCTGAGCTGCCCTCCTCTGGGAAAGGGGTTAATGACAGCAAAGCTGCTCTACATTTGCACAGTGGGAACTTTCACCGGTGCAGCCCAAATCAGGTACTGCTGTTGGCAGACCCTGGGCTCAGGGGGACAGCCAATCTGGTCTAATTCGGCAAATCCTGTGTTGCCCCAGTTTTCCTGTTTCACTGAGTCTGCTGCAAGGAATGTCTTGGCTCCCTGGGAGGAGGCAAGCACTGCAGCAGCCCACGCAATGATGTTTGCTCGTACAAAGGGTGAACGCCCTTGGTTTACCCCGTGTTTGCTGGCTGGTGCTCAAGCACGTGTTCAAGTAGTTATTGCATAGCACGTTCTATGTGGTCAGTGCAGCATATTTGCGTGCCCTGAGCTGGGAAAGCTTAACTCTCTGTAAACCTGGCTGTTCATTCTCACTTACTGTCTTCTGTCACTTCCCAGGTCTGGAGCTACTGAAGAACTGGTGTGTCAAAGGGTACCACACTGGGGCAGGGACGGATTTGGCCCAAATGGTGTGTATAACTGTGGGTAAGGTTGGCAGAGAATGGTTGTTTACCTGCACAGAGTTGGGTAGAGATCCTGCTTGTTCTCTTTCCTCTGGCTCCTGTCTTACCTGTTTGCCTTCTTCCCTCTTTGCCAAGGCCTCCAGGAGTCTGGAGAAACCCATGCTGCCCTATTTCTTACAAACATGAAGACATGAGCAGTATATCAGCTCTCCAAGTATTTTGCATCTGAATATCCTTGGGTTTACTGGGCACAGCCCTACATATTTGGCACCTGTCCTGACCACTCTTCCTCTCTATGAGGGAGTCGTTTCTGTCACTCCTGTGCCTTACAGCAGAATGTTTCTCTGACAGAAACCCACTCTTGACCTCGAGATGCTCTACTCCCACTTTCAGCAGAGGGATTCATTAGGCAGAGAGCAAAGATTGCTCTGTTTGCTATTCTGGGAACAGTCTGGTGGCAGTGACAATGTGCAGCAGTGAGGCAGCTCTAGCTGAAGCTCTCTAGGGCAGCCTATAGCAAAGCACAGCAGGCTTGAGGGATTTTTGCCACTACTTAAATAGCCATTCTGATGTCTTCCTCTCCTTCCACAGTGGTCATTGCCAAAGTCATTCTTCCTCCAGAAGAGTAGCATTCAATCAAATGGCTTCAGCAAACTGGAACTGGGCAGACTGGGGTGAGTTTGCACTGGCCGTGACGTTCATGGTGTTCATCATGTGGCTTTTGGACTGGTGTCCTGGTAGAAAACTGGCAGCCCAAAAAGCAGCTTTATTAGGAGAGGAGCAGATTGGTCTGCAGGCTCTGAAGCCTCTGCTCTCTGAGGAGCCAACAGATGGAGCTGGCATGATGTCTGTGCAACTGGGCATGTCTCCTTGGCACTGTACACCCAGCTTAAATGGGAGTGAAGCTCAGAACAGCCAGATTAGGTGATGCTTGGAGCTGTCATGGTCAGAACATGCTGACAAGATATTCCCCGCACTGGAACTTGTATCACTTCTGCGGACACTGATGTGGTTAATGGTGAGCAGAGGCTCTCAGCTGCAGCACTGGCTGAGGGAATAGTGAGGTCTCCAGGTCTGTTGCACTCTCCCAGCTTCCCCGAGCAAAGCTGGGCTGCTGACAGCTTCCTGCAGAGGTGGAGGACTGGAGTTTGTCTGGGTGAGACAAAGTGAAGGGGAGGCACACTGCTGATCTCTGGCTCTAAGAGAAAGGTCATCACTGTTCCTGTGCTGAGGCCAGGATGGACTTGGGTTTATACACAGACAGGGAGACTAAGCTGTGACCCTGCAGTCCCACTGATACTGGGATACCTGTTGGGGTCAGTGGTACTGCCTGGAATGGGAGATGGAGCAGGTGAGCCTGGCAGCCCTATCTCTAAGTCCATGTGTCATAATGCAGCAGATGATTATTGCACCATGGGTCTTTTGGTCCTTTCTCACTGTCCCTAAGAAATTCAGGGTCTCCTTTTTGTTGCAGCACATGCCTCCCTTCAGCTGGTGAGGATCTCACAAGATGCCTGGAGCCCAGCCCTACTCAGAGCATACCTCTCAACAAGTGCACTGATGGAGCCAACCAGAGACCTGCTGGCTGCCTCTCTGACACTGCCCTGGTGATGTGACCAAGCAGCCACCGTCCCTCCCTGGGGACACATCAACCTACCTCAAAGGAAGAGACAGGAGCTGGCTCTTTAGAGCAAGGACTGTGGGAGCCCTTTGCACTGCACACTTGTTTTGGGGCTGGTTGTAGAGAGAGATATTATCCTGGGCAAAGAGGAAACCTGTGTGATTTCATTTTCTAAAGGAAGTGGCAAAGCTTGAGGAAGTGGGGGTTTATCTGGCCTTTGCCCCAGACTGTACTAAAAGCCTGACAACGGTGGTTTTTTTGCTGTGTGGTAGCTGGCTGAGCCTGCCCTTTCTGTCCTCAGTCAGCACAGGCTGAGCCCTTGCTCGCCTGTGTCTGTGTTCTGAGTTGCTGGCAGCTGAGTCTGCACTTGCCCTGCTGTAGCCTGGCCCCTGGAGATAAGTCCCCAGTCCTCATGCCTGAGAGGGAGTAAAACTGCCCTGTTTTTTCCTTTCTGAATGTCTGTGCCAACACCGTGACCTCCCACAGCAACAGGCCCTGCAGGATACCTCAGGCTCGCACATTGCAGCTCCAGAGAGACCATGGGTACCAGCATGGCTCCCGTTTGTTGTGGGGGCAGTGGGGCTGCTGGGGAGGGAGCATCCTTCTCAAGGCCATTGGCTCTCTGGTGTGCCCTGCAGCATGTGTGCATGGACTGCAGGCTAGTGCTCTTCTCTTGGGTTTGCTCTCGATTTTCCCTTTGTTTCTCAAGGATTTCTATTAAATTTTAACACTTAACTGCTCTCCTGGTTCTCATTTGCCTTCCTTTCCCTGACCCTTTTGTATCTGGTGGGAAGCTCACCCCTTCCCATGCTTCACTAGGCTCTGATACAGGGAGGGTTTGTGCTACCACCCCACTTCCCTGTCCTTCCCAGAGCTTGGGGTAATTCTTGCTGCCCTATGGCAGGTAAATATACCCCCCGACATGGAAAAGCAGCTTCCAGCATAACTGCTTTGGTCTGGAGTCTTCCTCATGTCAGGGACTATCCCATGCATCATTAATCGAGGGGAACAGTGCAGTCCAACCTTACAAAAGGAGTAGGAAGGGTCGGGTGCCCAGAGCTAGCCTTTGCTGGTTCAGGGTTCTGTCCCCCCAGTATGACAGGTGAATGCTGGATATATGGGCAGGTTCTTGGGGCCCAGAGAAGGTGCTGATGTGCGGGCCCTGGGCCTGTTAGAGAACCCTTCCTTCCTCTCTCCTCACAGCCCACCATTTCCCAGTGCTGGGCCCTGTTTCTCTGGTCTCCTTGGTGACAATCTCATCTCTCCTCGGCTTCTCTCCAGCACCTGAAAATAGCCTCCGAAAGTGGAGATGCCTGCTGCCAGCACCCGTGATGGCCAGGCTGGAGCCAGGCTGCTCTGCACAGCACAGCTGTAAGGGTCTGGCCCCATGGGCCCCGGCACCACTGCGGGATTTGGGCCACCCTGTGAGCCAGCACCGAGGCCCCGGCCTCATCCCTCTTCTTTCCTGCCTGCTGTGAGGCAGCACCAGGGAACTCCTTGTAGCCCGCCATGGGCCAGTATCCAGCTGTCCCCTGCAGCAGGGACCTGCCCCTTTGGCCCTGTAGCCACCAACCCTGCAGCCAGCCCGACAGCCTCCCAGAAATAGAAAAGGGAGCCGGGAGCGGGCAGAGGGCGAGCAGGAGGAGGTGGCCCCGCGGCAAGGAAGGAGGTTACCCCGCAGGCCGGGCTGCCCCGCCGTGGGACCGGAGTCGCCGCCGACAGTGAGCTGCGGCGGGATCGGGGCAGGATCGGCGGGGCTGGGCAGCGTCGAGGACAGCGGGTCCGCATCCACCCAGGCCATGCTGGACCCAGCGGCTCTCCAGCATCCCCGCGGAGAGGGGAACGCTGTGGCCCACACCGCGACGGGCGGGGCAGCACCGGGCGGCTGCACCGAGTCCCGGCAGCGCGGAGCTCCGCTCCTGAGGGACGGGGTCCGCGGGGCGGGCTGTCCTCCCTCTCTCTGCCCCCAGCCGTCCCTCCATCGGCCTCTCCCTCGGGTCCCCGGGCCAGCGCTGCCCCCGGGGCCGCGACCACCCAGTTCAGGCCGAGGCTGCTCGGAGGCTGCGGCGCTGCTCGGCGGTGCCGGCCGTGTCCCCCCCCCGCCCGCGGCGGTGGCGGTGGGGGCACGGCTGGCATTGCTCGCTGACACTCTATCTGCCAGGGCCACGCCAGCCGCGGGCCCAGAATAGCAGCGCTGCCCCGCAGATAGCATGGAGCAGCTCCGCGGCTCTGCCGCGAACCAGGTACCGTAAGGCTGGGTGGGGGGCGCGGCCCGGCAGACCCCGACTGGGGACACGCCACCCCGGGAGTGGGAGAATGTGGGCGGCTGACGGGCCCCTTCCCACGGACATGCAGCCCTGGGCACAAGGACGTCCTTGTCCCAGCTGTGCCAAGCCCCTTGGGAACGGCTGGGGCAGGTGGTGCAGGGTCTCCTCCTCCTCGGTGTTGGCTCTCTAGGCTCCTTAGGGAGTGGTCCCCGTCTCTGTGCCTTCATTATTTTAGGGTGGCCTGTAAAGTTCGGCTGTGTCAGGAAGGTTTGTGGCCGGGGTAGCTCTTCCTTCTGCATGTGCTGGTCTGCTATGTAGGGTCTCCCGGGGATGGGGGAACGGGGTCAGCCATCCGTCCTAGGGACTCCCTTCTTCCTCGGGCTGCCCCTTTGTTAATGTAGGTTTCCTGGGATGGACCTGGTCCCCGGGAGGGGCCAATGGGGTTGGCGAGGCTCTCTGCATGGGAAGAAGCAAGAACAGAATTTACGCCTTGGGATTGGGAGAGGATGGGCGCAGAGCCGCTGTGGGACATGCTTGGCTCCAACAGCAGAGAGAGAAGGCAGGAGGCCCTGCCATCCATGCCTTGTCCTGCTCTGGAGACCCCTGCTGTCTCCCCGGAGCAGGAGGACAAGCTGGGTGTCCTGGACTGGAGCCACCATGGAGACTGCAGGCTCTGGGAGTCCAGCTGGTGGGGGGTGCCCACATCCCCACCCTGAAAAGACAGTTCTCTCTGCCTGGCCTGGGTGGGCCAGAGCAGCTGGGTGGGTGCAGGCAGAATCCATGGATGGGGAAAAGACTGGGCTGTCTTCTGCTGATTCTGCCTTACTGTGTGCCCTCCCAGGTGGCGCTGCTGGATGCTGTTGCATGCCCTGAGGAGGAAGGTGGGTAGCAGGAAAAGTCTAGGTGTGTAGGAGGGGGGAGTGCCTTACTATGTGACAAGTGCATTGATCCTCTGCTCACCCTGCCCATACCTCTCTCCTCAACTGGAGTCTGCCCCAGGCTGGAGAACTACTGTGTGCTGCTCCTGTGGAATAGGGAACAGGGGGGCTCTGTCGGGAGCATCCCCTGCTCCCCCCAGGCAGGAGGGTGCTGAGACCCAGCAGCTCAGCTTACTGGCTAGGGCTGGGATGACTTTGCCTGCAGGATTTCCAAAGGCCGTATGTCCCAGGGAGGAGGAAGAGGAGGAGGAAGAATACAGGAGACCTGTCACCTTCACACTGGGAAATGAGATACTGGGGCTAGGCTCAGAGACCGAGTTTCAGACTCCTGATGCTGAGGTCTACATGCACTTCTTGAGGAGCCACTGCTGTTACGATGCCATACCCACCAGCTGCAAGCTTGTCGTCTTTGACATCTCCCTGGAGGTGATAACCTGGGGGATGAGTGGGGATGGGCAGTGAAGAAGCAGGCTTGGGGACCCTCTGAACCCCTCTGCACTCTGCCAGCAGATCAAGAAAGCCTTTTTGGCACTGGTGGCCAACGGGGTTCGTGCTGCCCCTCTCTGGAACAGCAAGACGCAGAGCTTTGTGGGTGAGTGCTAGAAGCAATGCCTGGCCCCATCCCCTGCCTGGCAGAGAGGGTACAGGCAGTGCTGCCAGCCCCATGTATCTCCACAGGGATGCTCACCATCACCGACTTCATCAACATCCTCCACCGCTACTACCGCTCACCTTTGGTGAGTGCCGTGAGGCGGGCTTGGGGGAGCAGGACATGCATGGAGCAGGGAGTGGCTGTCCCCACCACTCCTGGTCCTTTCTTAATTGCTAGACAATGACCAGGGGATGATTCTGGGCCAGACCAGCATCCACTTGTTGCTCCCCTGCTTGGCCCCCAAAACGTGTTTGGGTGATGGGGTGTGATGCCCAAGGAGGGGGGCAGTGTCTCAGAGTGCCCTCAGTTCCCCATGGAACCACCATGACCTGGGCATTTCCCTGCCTCCAGGTTCAGATCTACGAGGTGGAGGAGCACAAGATTGAGACCTGGAGAGGTAAAAATCATGCGGGTGGCTGGGCTGATGTTGTCACACAGGGTATGTAGGTGGGCTCTGGAGCTGAGGGGCTGCAAGAGAGGGCTGGAGGACCTCCTCTCATAGCTCTCTCCCTTGGCAGAGGTGTACCTGCAGGGCTCCCTCCAGCCACTGGTCTACATCTCTCCGAGCAATAGGTGAGAGCTTGTCTGCTGGGGGAGAGCACACCCCTTGGAGTAGGGGTGTGTGTGCACCTGAAAGCAGCCTTATCCTACCACGATGTCCACATCACCCACAGCCTCTTCGATGCTGTCTACTCCCTGATCAAGCACAAAATCCACCGCCTACCTGTCATTGAGCCTGTCTCGGGCAATGTCCTGCACATCCTGACACACAAGCGCATCCTCAAGTTTCTCCACATCTTTGTGAGTGCTGGGGCTGTTTGTGCACACTCATGGCTGGTGTCACAGGCAAGGGTGTCAAAGTACTTGCAGGTGCCAGCCAAGCCCTGCCCTGTCCCATTGAAGGCTTCTAGCATCCCCAAGCCACGCTTCCTGAAGAAAACAGTGCAGGAACTGTGCATTGGCACCTTCCGTGATCTGGCCGTCGTGGCTGAGACTGCCCCAATCTACACTGCCTTGGAGATTTTTGTGGATCGCCGTGTCTCCGCCTTGCCTGTCATCAATGATGCTGGTACCTGGGGAGGGAAAAAGTGACGTCCTCACGTCCCTCTGCTAGCAGCTACAGCACCATCCCTACCCAAAACCCCTCTTCTGGCCCTTGGGCTGCCCCTTGGGTTGTGGGAAGAACATGGCAGGTGGTCCCTAGGGCTCCTTCTGCAGCCCCTGCACTGCTTCTCTTTGCAGGGCAAGTGGTTGGCCTGTACTCACGGTTTGATGTCATTGTGAGTACCCTGCGTGTGTGCATGCCCAGGCTCAAGCTTGGCCCCTTGCATGCACTGGTAGGGTGCTTCTACCTGTCTGTGCCCATGCAAACCCATCCCACATGCATTGTCATGCACGTGCCAGTGCACATCTGCTCTGTGCATCTCCTGGGCTCAGTGTCCCTTCTGTGTTGGCACAACGGGGTGCAGGGACGCCTTGGGGCACTGAATGGGGACACATCTATCACAGCACCTGGCAGCCCAGAAGACCTACAACAACCTGGACATCAGTGTGAGGGAGGCACTGCGGCAACGCACGGTCTGCCTGGAGGGGGTCCTCACCTGCTACCCCCATGAACCTATGGAGGACATAATCGACCGTATTGCCAAGGAGCAGGTGAGTGGCCGGGGTGCCTTGTGCCAGCCACGGCTGCCAGCTGCCCAGCCTGCCTGTGATGCTCTCCCTGCACCCACAGGTCCATCGCCTGGTTCTGGTGGATGAGAACCAATACCCGCGGGGCATCGTCTCCCTCTCTGACATCCTGCAGGCCCTTGTGCTCACTCCTGCAGGTATTGATGCTCTTAACTCTTAGCCCACGGTGCTCCATCTTTCTCCACTTGCACCCTCAGTTTCTCTCCACTTCAGGTAGGCGCCACCCCCTCATTGCTGTGTGCCTGTCCCTTCCCTGCTGTTGGGTCACCTGCCTCTGCCCCATCCAAAGTGGTCCTGGAGGATGGAGGAAGCTGGGGCTGGGGTCTGGCAGCACTGGGTGCCCAGGCAGGGACAGCAGGACCCAGGTGCTGCTTGTTCCAGGGGTACACACGGATCACAGGGGATCCCTGGTGACTGTGAGGAAGGATGGGGGTGCCTTCCATGGTGACATGCTGGCAGAGCCCCATTCAGGCAGCGTGTGGAATGCAGGTTCTGCAGGTCCCTGGGCTTTGGGCTGGTTCAGGGTTTTGGGCTGTGATGCACGCCAAGACAAAAGCCTATTTTTGATTTTGCTTCATTCCCCACTCCCCTCCGAGACCTGAGCACCTCCAGTGCCATTCCCAAGGGACACAGAGTGGACAGACCCCCACTCTCACACCCCAGACATGCTGCCCACCACTAGCCATAAGCAAAATGTGGCCAGCCCATGGGCCTCAGCTGGCAGAGCCCCCCATCCCCATCACTCGCAGCAGCCCCAAAACCGTCTGTTCCAGAGACAGGGCTCACTCCCAGGTGGCACTGGAACCACACTGCCTGGCCACCTGCAGCTGGCTCTGCTCACCCACTGCCTGGTGAATCCTCACTGGCTGTGGATGGGCACGGTCCTGGCACGCACTGTGGCACCTCTTTAGGGGTGAAATGAGGAGCGGGGAGCTGGTTCCAGTTCCCAACTGCTTCCCAAAGGTAATTATGCTGTATGGGGTGGTGGTGGGCAATGGGTTGGGACAGGCCTGTGCCTACCAGCAGTGCTCAGCTGCTCTGCACAGAAGGGGACTGGGAATGGTATGTGTTACCCATACATGGGATATCCCCCTTGCCCCCATTCCCCCCATCACAGTACCTTTGCTCACCTTATCCCTGATGCTCACAGGGGTGGCTGTGTCAGGAGCTGCAGGGGGCCACCGAGATGTCCCACTCCAGCCAAGCTGCCCTCCTACCCCAGGGCTTGCATACAAGCAAGGAATGGAGGAAAGGCCTCAGTGTCCACTGGGATGGTTGGAGGGGCCACGTCCCAGGGTGCCTGGTCCAGCACTGATTTGGGGTTATGGTCTCACACGCTCTCTTGCCCCACAGGCATCGATCGATCCTCACTCTGAAGACACCAGGGAAATGCCACTGGCTTGTCTGACTCGGGGATCTCTTGCGTGACCTGTGAGAAGGAGGCTCGGGCCCGAAGGCTCTCTGTGGGGAGGACGTGCCTGTTCACCCCACTCCTCGGGCTCGTCTTGAGTCCAGGGCTAGATCCTGCCAGTCTTGGAGAGGCAGAAACACTGAAAATGGGACCCAGGGGTGCCTCCTTCCAGTGAGCACACAGTGATGCTCAGTGGGCACTATGCTGGAGGGGCTGCAACGCGCCTGCAGCTGGGCAGAGACCCATACAGCCCCGGAGGACCTGGCCACCCCTCTGCCGTCCTGCTGATGGATCTGAGCGTTTCTATTGTGGCTCCCTCCTAGTGAACACAGTCCCGCTGTCTGTGCTCGGTGCCTGGTAGCATAGGCTCAGCTGCACGCACAGCTTTTTTATTGTAGGGTCATACAGGGCTGGAGCTCTCTGGCAGCGGCACAGTCTGTGCCAGAGCTGGCAGCAGGATGGGCACTTGCATGGAAACCCTGTGCACATTTTGGGGTGGGCAGGGGATATTTATTTATTTGTTAGTCTGTTCAGCCTTGATGTAACAAAACATCCTGATCCAAGAACTGCCTCTTGCCTTCCTGGGGTACAGGCTGGGAAGGGGTACTGGCTGCTTGCCAGCAAGTTTGGCACTGGCAGAGTAGTACCTTGGCACATGTGGGTAGAACCCAGGGGATGGGGACACAGGGCATGGAGTCTTAATCATCTTGGTGATGTGTAGGTCCCTTTGGGGACACACTGAGGGACAGAAGCTTTGGTACCAGCAAGGTTTCTGCCTGCTGCTTCCCTCAGTCCAAGAAGAAGGAAAGTATGAGGGTTGCTGTTAAAAACATCCCTTGCTTCATCCCTCAAGGACTCTGGGCAAATGGCACTGCATCCTCTGCCTGTGGCTGCTACCAGCTGTGAGCCTTGCAATGGTCCTGGCTTGGGGGTAGGGGATGCTGAGCTGATCTTTCTCCTCCTGCTTTGCCTGCAGCGAGCCCTGCCATTCCTGTGACCCCGCATCAGCATCTCAGTGCAATAATGGCCGACAGTGGAAAGTCCCAGGAACTAAACACCCCTCCTGTGCTGGCCGGCTCTGCCAGGGGACACAGTACCAGTGCTGGGTGATGACAGGCCTCCTCCCATCATGAGGAATGCGCTGTCTTATTGCTGTGATTTCCCAGGACCAGGGCTGGCTCTGTCCTTTGGGAAAGGCGCAAACCCCAAACACCACCAGCACTCAACCCTCCCCTGGGGGCAAGGGGAAAAGTGAGGCACAGAGAAGTTTCTGAGGCCAAGGTCAGCTGTTCAGAGAGGACCCAGATGTCCTGGCTCCAGGCACAGATCCACGCACAGCTACACAAGGACAGGACGAAGGAGACACTGAATGGCTGCAAGCCCCCTCCCTGCTTTCCCCCAGCCCCAAAAGAGCTCCCAGGTTCCTGACACAGCCCAGCTGGGCACGGGACTGGGGGGACACAACCCCAATGCAGTGTGTCAAAGGCACAGCAGTTCCCCAAGCCTCCTGCTGATTTTGGGCAGGAGGTTACTAGTGGCCCAGGGGTGATTTGGGGGCAATCTCTCATCCCCCCCACCTTTCCCACTGTGAGGCTGTGAGCGCCCTGGCCCAAGTTGGCCAGGGAAGGGGTTTGCCTTCCCGTCCTCCTTGTGGGGCAGAAAGGGGGATCTCCGTTTGGTGGAGGGTGGACGTGCAGTCAGGGGGCTCCTGGGCGAGCGATGAATTCCAGGTTGATGGGCTTGTCAGCCACCAGGACAATGCGGGACACAGATGTCACTTCCACGCCACGGGGGTCCGGCTTCACCTCGAATGCCTGGATCATCTGTGGGGAGAAGGGGGGTTGGCAGTGCCTTGGGGACTCCCTGGGACCCCCATCCCAGCTCATGGCAAGATATCCGAAGTGGAGGAATCCCTGCTTACCCTGGCAAGGGCCAGGTGCATCTCCAGCTCAGCGATGCGGCGTCCGACGCACGCACGGACCCCGTAGCCGAAGGGGATGGAGCTGAAGGGGTGGTGAGGGGAGCCGTGTCCCCGGAGCCAGCGCTGGGGCAGGAACCGCTCAGGCTCGGGGAAGTAGGTCTCGTCATGGGACATCGCGTAGTGCGCCAGGACAAACAGGGTCTGCAGGGTGGGAACTGGGGTTTAATGACCCCTCCTGGCCCCACTGAGTGCAGTGGGGCTCCCCACAACACGGCCCCCACTCACATTCTTGGGGAAGAGGTAGTCTCCGATGACAATGTCCTTCTCATAGAAGACCCTGGCGTTGGTGGGCACCACAGGGTAGACTCTGGGATATGGAGAGAGTTAGTGGGGGAGCAGAACTCATCTGGAGATCCCGGAAAGAGTGAGATGCAGGCAGGACAAGGCTCAGCAACCCCCCGGGGAGGAGGTGGATATTTGCAGTCCAGAGGGACTGAAATCCAGCCGTGCATCTTGCCTGGTTGGTGCATCCCCCCTGGAGAAGGGGCTGGTGACAGGATCTTATGGCAGGGACAAGGCTGGGATGTACCTCAGAGTCTCCTTGATAATGGCCCGAAGCATCGGCAGCTTGGGGATATCCTCAGCAGCAGGAAACCGGCTGGCAGGCACAACAGCTTTCAGCTCCTGGTACAGGGTCTCCTGGATGTCTGGGTCCCGGGAGAGGTGGTACAAAGCCCAGGACAGTGTGTTGGAGGTCTGGGGGAGTAGAGAACCAGAAGAAGTGAAGGAATTTGGGCCAGTACCTGAGCAGTTTTGTGCTAAGCACAGCATCAGTATGGCACCAGAGAGCCCCTGCTCTGGTGTGCAGAAAAGTCAGGGGTGAGGGCAGCAAGCACAGGGAAGAGGGAGGCAGGGAGCAGTATACACAGCAGAGCAGAGGATGGGTCCTGTACTGACCAGTCCCTGAGAGTTTGCCCCTGTGGGGTGTCAGCCCCAACCGGGCAGAGCTCACAAGAGATGGGTGGAGCACGCCCCAATGGGTTCCCCTGGCCATGGAGCTCAGTAGGGATCCCCTGGCAGCAGCTGCCTGGCTCTCACCGTGTCCACACCAGCCAGCAGCAACTCGGCCACGCTGCCATAGACCTCATCCAGGCTGAGTCTGCCACTGGCCAGCAGGTAACTCAGATAGCCGGTCACCTCAGTACCACGCTCCACCTGCCCCTCCAGCTCTTCCATCTTTCGGTCAATCAGTGTCTTGCCTGCAGGGATAGAGAGTGGGAACCAGAGCTGACAGAGCGAGGGCTGCCAAAAAGACATTTGGCCAGGGACTGCCCCTTTTGAAGGTCCTTAGGGAGTCCAGTGCCACCACACTGGACCCCTATCGTCACCGCTCACCAAAGGCAAAGATGGTGTCCCAGCTGTTCAGGTAACGGTCCCAGAAGGGCAGCACCTTGCGGCTCCATCGGGGCAGGACGGTGGCAAAGATGGAGTTCTTGAACATGAGGTTGATGGAGTCAATGAAGCGCTGGGTCTCAGCAGGGACCTGCTGCTTGAGGCACCCGATGCGGGTCTCGAAGAGGATATAAGAGATGCCTGTGGGGGACAAACAGCATCCAGACCTCCAGGGGAATGGGAAGAGTGGGACAGGGCAGGGGTGAGGGAGAGGACACCCCTACCTTCCAGGGCAAAGCGGTAGAGCAGGTTGGCCACATCCTCCACCAGCACCCCCGAGGGGCTGCGGCTCCGCTCCTCCCGCAGCCGCACCATCAGGTCTGACACCACCTCCCCGATGGCATCCGCGTACAGCAGCGCCTCCGAGGGCTTCAGCAGCCGCTTGTTGAGGACCTGGCGCAGGCGGTACCAGCGCTCCCCTTCCCTGGATGGGGATGAGGATCATTGCTGGGGGCATGGACGGGCAGGGGGCAGTGGCTGGCAGCAGCTCCCCAGTCCCTGTGTGCACACTCCCCACCACAGGCTGGAACCATCCCAGGGGTCATTCCACCCACTGTGGCCATGCCCTTCTACTTGGTGGGGACAGGCAGCTTGCAAGAGTGGGAGTAATGCAAACTGCCACCTGGGCCCTACACCCAAGGAAGGGCAGGAGAGGCATGCTGCCCCAGAGAGCACAGCCAGGGCAGGACTCACTCGGTGAAGGGGCCGTAGGGCAGGCGCCGGGTGTCCCGGTGCTCCTTCCACAGGGCCATGTCACTCCGCATGGGGTACTTGCCCTCCTGCCGGAGCAGCTGCTCCAGCACCACTGGGCTCCCAATGTTGATGTTCCTATAATGTCCAAAGGTTGACTTCCAGATAGGTCCATAAAGGCGTCGGGATATCACCTGCGATGCACAAAGCATGGCAAGGTCAATGGGACGAGCTGGGTCAGATCCTCCCTGCCCCAATGCTGCCCTGAATGTGCCCATCTGCACCCATCCCATGGACCCCTCAGCATCAGCTCAGCTCAAGCACCTGCTTCTGACACCCCCAAGCTGGCAGCATCCTTGACGTGCTCTGCAGATGGCCTGGTCTGGTGTCTCTGGGCTAATTTCCTCTCCCAGCACTAAGCACACCAGGCACTGACCCCTCAGCACAGACTGGCACATCCCAGAGATGCAGAGAGAGGCTGGTGGGTCTTTTGGGGAAGGAAGACCAAGAAGGAACAGCAGGGACAGGGACAACTGCCAAGCACAGGACTGTGCTGAGATGCAGGACCATTGCAGCAACCACCAGCAGGACTAAGTCCTGCTGCTTCCACCATGGCCCCAGCTCTGCTTAATCTAGGGACAACAGTCGCTGAGTGGGTCCTTGAACTCATCATCCAGTAAGGGTGGTTAATGATCAGCAGTGGGAGGGCAGCACCAGGCTAGGGCATGATTGGGCTGCTCCCAGAACAGGCTGTCACCTCCAGGACATAGCCCTGGAGCCACAGGCTCACAAGTCAGCTACGATGTTCACCAACATCAGCCCTGCTCTCGCCCCTGTTGGTTGCAGCTCTTCTCTCCTTGTCTGCAGCCACAGGTCCCATGCCTACTTCCCTGGCTGGGAGCATCATGACCTCCAAGTGCATCCCTTGGGGTGCAGCTGGACAGCCCTTTGCAAGGGGATCTGCACAGGGTCACGTCCAAATCCACTTTCCATCCCACCCAGGCACTGCCAGAGCACCTGCAGAGCATGGCCAAGCATGGGGGGGATGCAGGGGACTTAGCAGGCAAGCCCCGGTCCCCATTCCCCGTGGCTGCGGGGATGCACGTGGTACAATCTCCCTTGGTGACTGTCTGCATCGCAGCCTGCGCCTAGATTCAGCTGGATTCGTCACCACGGGGAGACGTTCCTCGTGCACGGTGGCAGGAGGAGGGGGAGGGACGGCCACCCCGGTACTGCAGGCAGCTCGTGGGCATGGGGCAGCTGTGCCCCAGCTTGAAGCCTGCCCACCAGCATCTGCTGGCAGCCAGGACCTGACACAGGGCAGGCCTTGGAGAGCTGGGCTGTGAGGAGCTAGAGCTGCCTGGATGTGGGGAAAGGCACCTCCAGAGCATGTGGGCATCTTTCTGAAAAGCCAGGCTGTGCTCGGAGTCCCAAGGGCAGGAGGGAGCAGGAGGGAGCTCCAGTGTCTATACCCTGAAATCCCACTGTCCTGTGACATCCCCTTCTCCAACCAGCAGTGCCTGGTGCCCTGAGATGCCAGGGAGGCCTGATCCCACATGCCTCTCGGGCTGGTCAGAGCTCCAGGGCACTGGAGGATGCTGCCTGGCTTACAGCCAGCCAAGCCCATTGCTTGCTTCATCCGACGTATGAGGAAGTGTTGACAGACGAAAATAAGTACCTCTGTCTACCCTTCCCCTGCCTTGGTATCATCTGCCCAAAAACCTGCCCAGTCACCTGCACCCAAAACTGCTGCTCCCTCCAGCTGCCACAGCCGGGAGCCCAGGGATGCCAGGACCCTGTGAGATGCCCCCGAACCTTTGCCCTCAGCTGCCTGGCCGGCTCGGGGATGCTGGAGCAGCCCAGGGCTGGGTGGACCCTCTCGAGGTCACTCGGTTTTGCTGGCCCCTCTCTGCCTACTGGCCCCAGCATCGCTCTACCGGACCGGGTGCCCCCCACCGCCCAGCCCCTCTGCTCCCCTGCTCTGCCGCCCCCGCTCAGCTCCCTGCCGTCACTCGGCGGTAGCTAACCCCCTTCCTGGAGCCCATCACCCCTTGTCCCCAGCCCGCACCCCCTCCCTCCAGCGCAAAGCCCCTCCGGGCACAGCACCCTCCCTGCAGCCCCCCCGCAAGCCCCTCCATCCCACGCACCCCTCCTTACCCTCCTCCCCCACCTACGCCCCCGTGCAGGGTCGCCAGGCCCCCGCGCAGCCCGACCCCCGCACGCCCGCAGCCCCGGGCCGGGCTGCCCCGGCGCACCTGCAGCCGGTGCGTGTGCAGCAGGTAGCCCCGCAGGAACAGCCAGACGAAAGTACGGAACAGCCCCGGCCCCGGTAGCTCCTCCGGTCCCTTCAGCCGCGCCGGCCCCGCCGCCGCTGCCGCCGAGCCCCCGGTCCTGCGCGGCGGTCCCGGGCTGCTGCGCGGCGGCGGCGGGCGGGGGCGCAGGAGCAGCGGCAGCAGCGGCCACCGGGCCCCGCCGCTCGGGCCCGCCATGCTCCGTCGGCAGCGCACGGGACGGGGCGGGGCGGGGAGGCACCGAGGGTGGTGGGGGGCGGCACCGGGGGCGGCGCGGGGGGCGGCGCGGGGGCGGCGACCGGGCACAGGCACCGGGGACTGAGCATCGCGCACCGGGTACCGCGCACCGGGAATAGAGAATCGCGCACCCGGTGCGCTGCGCAACGGCTACTGGCCCCGGCTGCTGCGCCCCGGATGCGGGGTACCGGCTGCTGCTCAGCGGGGAGCGGGCACGGGGCAGTCCGGACCGTGCGCCTTGTGCCGGCTGCGGCACACCTTCTACCGGGCCGTGGAGACCGGCTGCAGCGTGCTACGTACTCGGTACAGCACACTGGGCACCGTGAGCCATACTCCAAATGCTGGGCATTGGTGACTGCTCAGCAGCATCACAGACCAGGCACCGGGTGCTGGGCGCTGGAATGGGCAACAACGGTACCAGTGGCACATAGCAGGTACTGGGTGCCAGGTGTTGTGCATGGTGGAACTATGCACAAGGCAGCTGGCAGCCAGCATGGCATGGCACGGCAGGCACAACACCCTGGCACAATGGAGCCTGTGGCACCTAGTGCTGTATTCTGGGCGTTGCACATAGACATTGCACACCAGGCACGGGCACGAGGACTGGGCACAGCACCAGCCAGGGCACGTGTGCCAGCACTGGCATTGCACTGTGTCACTGGGTACTACATCCCACACCCTGCACACCTTGCAGCAGTTCCAGGTTCACCACTGGGCCTGCTCTTTAGGTCTGCTTGCCCTCCTGGACGGAGCCTTCCTGCCCTGCTTCTGTTCCCTGCCTGTCACCCCCCTGTGTCTGCCTTGTCCCCCAGCAGTGCAGGATGGTGCCATGGGGACCTGGGTCCAAACTGTCCCAGGCTCTCTCTCAACACTTCCTCCAGGCACTGCCAGCCACAGATGGGGAGACCTTGGTAAGCCCACTGTGGCTGCTGGCAACAAACTGGAGGGAGGTTTGGTATGTTTTCATGCCGGGGAGAGAACAGTGCCAGCTCCTGCCTCAAGCTGGTGCAGGCCAAGCTGTGCAGCCCATGAGCAGAACCCTGCTGGGGTGTCTGGGACCATGCATGAAGGACATGTCTGCTCTGGCCAGCCGGGGACAGTGGCGCAGGCAGTGCTCTGTCCAGGTGTCACTCCAGGGGTGTTCGGCACTGTGTCTCTGGGACACCAGCGCTGATCATAAACCCCTCTTATCGGGCATTGGGTACAAGGTCCTGGGCAGAGAGGCTGTGTGAGGCTGGGCAGGTATCTGAGAGCCCCGTGAGTGGCTGTTCCTGCCCTCGGTCCTGTCTCACCAGGACAGCGGCAGTGTCCCGTGCTGGGCTCCAGCTGATGCTTTACGTGCTCCCTGCCAGTGGGGCCGGGGCTGGGGTGCAGGACACGGGCACCCCCGTGCCTGTAGACACCCCTGAGGCACCCCAGGCTGGGACAGCCAAGAACGAGCGCCTGCTGCCATCTCATGGCTGCTCACAGCCAGCTCTGTCGCTTGCCCTGCCTCGGCCGGGTTCAGAGCCGATGCAGCAGGAGAGTCCCTGCCCGAGGACTTCTGTGAGCTTCCCAGCCCGGGAAACTGAGACCCTGTAGCTCTCACTGCCCCTGGCAGAGGATGTCTTGGTCTCTCCATGCCTGCTGTAACTGTGCTTCCCCTTGCCAGGCAGTGGAACCCTGTGACCTCTTTCAGTTTGAAACAATTGCCTCTTGCAAAAAGAGTGAAAATGACAGTTCCTGGTAAAAGGTCTCTCTTCATCTTTCTTATAAGCCCTTTTATATATTGAAAGGTTGCAATTAGATGTTCCTGAGCCTTCTCCAGATTGAACAACAAACATCTCTCAGCCTGTCTTCACAGGAGAGGTGCTCCAACCCCTCGATCATTTTGTAGCCTTGTCTGGCATGACTGAACTTGCTCCAGCAGGTTCATGCCTCTCACACTGAGGACCCCAGAGCTGCTCTACTCCCAGCGGGTTCTCACAAGTGTAGAGTGGAGCAGGAGCGACCACCTTCCCTGCCTTGCTGGGCAGGCTTCTTATTTTCCAGTCTCAGACGTGACCTGCAAGTGCACATTGTCGGCTCATTTACTGGTTTTGATCCACCAGTGCCCCTGAATTCTTCTCTGCAGGGCAGCTCTCCGTCCGTCCATCCATCCATCCATCCATCCATCCATCCATCCATCCATCCATCCATCCATCCATCCATCCATCCATCCATCCATCCATCCATCCATCCATCCCTCTATCCTTCAGACAGAACTGGTATGAGGGTCGCTCCGATCTGTGTTCAGGACCTTGCACTCGGCCCTGTGGAAGGGCGGATTGTACCACCGCAGCGACTCCCCAGGCCGGTTCCCGGTGCCCCGCGACCGGCTCGGGACACGGAGCGGGCACCGTTATCCCGGCTGCTTCCCGCTCCTGCCGCTAGGCTGTGCTCCCCGTCCTCGGACGGCGGCAGCGGCGGCGGGACCGGCCCGGGGCTCCGCCGGGGCCACTGCCGGGGTTGTGGGGGACGCCGTGCTGAAGGGGGCCGGGAGGGTTGGGTGAATCAGCCCCTCTCAGAGTCGCCCTGCGGGGACTTCCGAAGGGAACAGGCTGGAGCCAGTCCAGCTTGGAGTTGGGGTGGCAGGTCACATCCTGTGTGTCACTTTGCCCCGGGGATGCTGTGAGTGTACTCATCCCACAGACCCATTGTCAGATCCGACCTCATCTCACTGGTGGGAGCTGTGGGTGCACATACAGGCACGGTGGGACCCCCTGTCTCTCTGCCCCTCAGCCATCCACCACACACTGCTTATGGAGGGTCCTGGCCGCTGGTCCTCCTCAGAGGGAGGGACAGCTCCTTTGTGTGACTTGTACAGTGTCACCCAGGAGCTGAAAATCTTTCCCAGAGTTGCATCCACTGACCCCGATTTGCTCTCCCAGATGGGAGGGGGAGGAAGTGGGGTGTCCCAGGGGAGGGCATCCCTTGAATCATCCCCAGGAAAGCCCAGGCTGTGAGAAGGCTGATCCTGGGTCCTGAGGACTGTAAACAGCCCAGAGCACTGAACTGGAGATAGCCTGTTACATCAACTGTGTGTCACCACGCTGTCACTGCCTGAGTCATGAGCCATGCGGGGGCCAGTGGGGCTGCAAAGGGGGACATGGGGAGATCAAGAGGAACGTGGACAGATACCAAGTCTGGAGACAGCTGCTCTTTTCCAACACAAAAAGTTCAAGTGGGACCCTCTTGGCCCTCTCCCAAAGGTCCCCTTCCCCTCCTTTCCCTCTGTCTGACCCCTCAGACCTGGGCAGAGGCCTGGGGGCAGCACATAGCTTTTGAAACAAGAGGCAAATCAACCAGCAAGATGCTGTGTCCCCCATGACCACCATGGAGGGTTCAGCACCTGGCAGAAGGCTCTGATCCAGGCTCCCCCTGCTTTGTGCCCCATGGGACCCTGGTGGGCCAGGACCTTTCCCCGAGGACGTGAGAGTGGGATGCCGGAGAGAACCTGGGGCTGGCATGCTGTTATCACAGGAGACGGGAGGCAGCCCCAGGCTGCTCTCAAGTGGTCCTGGCTGATTAGTGACTTCAAGTGCCTACGGAGTTATTCTAAGTCAAGTAGGAGCAAAGGGAGCTGACCCGAGACCAGTGCCGGGCTTTCCTGGAGTTTCCCACATCACCTCTGCTCCTTGCCAAACTCTCCAAGATGGGGAGGTGTCTCCTCTTTCCCATCTGCTCTCCCTGTCCCTTACTCCTCCTGCAAAAGGCTATTTGCTCCAGCCTGAAGCAAACCTGATTTTATCTCCTGACTCCAGTTCCCTTGGCTGTGGGCCACGGTCGATGCCTCCCACGCAGAAGTTGCGAAGCCCATTCGGGGACCCGTGCACAGAGCGGGCTGTGTATGCTGCCACATGACATCATGTTTACAGCCCGCAGGGGCCCAAGGACAGCGGCATCGCTTGCAGCCCAGATATGCGTGTCCTTCCCATGGATGGACAGATGGATGTGTGGGGAGCTGGAATGAGTGGGACTGGCCACAGACCCATGCCTCCCTGAAGAGGGGTGGTTTCAGCTTTGTTGCTCTGCAAGCCGGTTTCCTTGGCCTCAGTTTCCTCTTTGGCCAGTGGAGAGTGGATTCTGTGCTAGCAGTGACGGTGCACTGCTGCAGCAGCACGAGGTTGGGCCCTCAAATTGTTGTGGAGCGAGAACGGCAAATTTTTTCCCCTTGGGACGTGGATGTTCCCTTCTCTCCCAGGATAGATGCTGCGTGAAACTTAGGTTGTTTGGAAAGAACAAAAAAGTCCAGAGTTACATGGGCTCACTAAATACTGCTGCTAGGACCATCCTTTCTCCTGTCCATCCATCCATCCATCCATCCATCCATCCATCCATCCATCCATCCATCCGCACTTGTAAATGGCTTTCTCACAGCCATCTCTCTATCCATCTACTGAGCTGTCGTACTCTCATCCATCCATCCATCAACAAATGTTGATGTTACTCTTCCCATCCAGCCCCACACCCACCCATCCATCCATCCATCCATCCATCCATCCATCCATCCATCCATCCATCCATCCATCCCTCCATCCATCCCTCCATCTCCCGCCTGTCAGTGCCCAAGGGATGGACCATCCCTCCCAGGGTATGGTGTGTGCTGACAGGTGTGTGCACACGTGTGTATGGGTTGTGCTGGCCACCCAAAGCGCTGTGGGTCGTGATGTCCCAGGCTATGTCCAGCCATGGGGCAGGGCCAGGAGTGCTGGCCAGGGGGAGGGGGACTTGTCTAATTTAAGAATGGGCCCTACAGCTGCTGTCAGCACCGGGCGGCTCTCATCTGGGACAGGTCCTCATCAGCTCTGCTTGCTGTCCGCCAGCCTGACATGAAAGGGCTCTGCACCCCGATAAGGCCCCAGACACTTGGTCCCAGAGGTGGGCAGCACTGTGACCAGTCCTGGGGGACCCTGAGGAGTAAGTTCTAGCATGGCTGTCCCCAAAGTCACTGTCACTTCAGCACCATGGCTTGTGTGTTTGCATCAGTTGGGAGCTCAGCCCTGGGGGCCACCCTCCACTTTGAGCACTGGATCATGACCTGTGTCATCACCATTTCCCACTGGTGACATAACCCCAGGGAGGGCACCATCCTCATCATCTCCCTGGCTGCCACAGGCCTGTCTGCTGGCTGCTACCCTGCACTGGAGTCCCCCGACTGCGAGCAGCCATGGATGGGGACCGTGTTGTTTTAATAAGATCATTCTCCTCCTGCCGTGAGGTCGCAACCCGGGCTTATGACATCACAGTGTGCTGCCATGGAAATGCCGGGATGTCACAAACACAGCTCGATGACCTCACTGCAGGAGCAGGAGATGAGGCCAACGTGGGTTTGATTGCCAATGTCCTCAGGAATAAAGGAGGGGAGGGACGCTGGGAAAGTATGCGGCCGCTGAGTGCCGGGGTGTTTGGGTTGGAAATCGCCACGCTCTCCCCACAGCGGGAAAGGCCCATTACTTCCTCCCCTGTCCGCTCCCTCCCAGCAGCCAGACCCGCCCCCCCAGCCTTGTGGCTGTCGGGTAGGAGGGCTGTCGGAGCAGGGCACCCCCATCCCTGCCCTCGGGGCTGCATGGCTGGGAATGAGAGACAGAGCTCAGCACAGTATCAGGGCACCAGCCTAGAGGCAGAGGGAGTTCAGTGGGGGGTGCAGGATGGGCCACTCAGGGAATGCTTTGTCTCACAAGCAGGCTGGGGATCACTGGGGATGCTGTCACAAGAGGCAGAGTGGGCTGGAGCCCTGGGGAGGACTCCTCTTCCTCAAGAGGACTTCAAAGTCACGCTGCTATATGGGGATGATTCTCCAACACAACACCCTCAAAGCTGAACCTCAAAGCACCTCTTGGCCTGGCGCAGCCACCCAATAACTATCCTCTCCCCAGCCCATAACCAACAACTTCTCCTGGGGACCAACCCCTCTGTCACATCACCCCTACCACAGCTGACTTCTCTCTCCTCCACAAACCTTGCCCCTGGGAAAAACATGTCTGGTTGGGGGGGCACCCGTCCCCCCACCTCTCTGCTGCAGGGGTGCAGGGGTGTCTGCTCTCCCCCTGCATCCTCCATCATTAATTTCCATCAGTGGCCAAGTGGGGCCGGGGCTGCCTGGGGGTGGCCGAGGAACACGGCGCTTTCCCCTGATAGCAAAAATAAATACATTAAAATTCTTGCAGGAGGCAGAAGAATGCGGGACGGCAGGAAAAAATTGTTTTATAATTTGTAATAACACAAAAGCTGTGGGGGGGTAGTGAGCTGCGAGAGGCGAGGAAAGGCAGAGACAAAGGATCAGCTGCGATGGTGGAGGCTGCTTCAGAGTGGCAGTGGCATCCCTGTCACCCTGGATTACTATGACCACTGTCACCTTGTCTGCTGAAGTACGTGGGCCTTTGGGTCTTATTGCAGAAGGGAAGGCAGCAAGAAAATTACTGGAGCTGAGCGAACAGGCAACCACTCCCCACCTGCCTAAGCAGGTCTCAGCATCTCTGTGCCTCAGCTTCCCCTTGCTAAAGGAGAACTTTTATGCCGTTGCGAGAAAAGCTGTGAAATAGCTGGCATAGACTCCATTCCAGCTCTTCTGATCCAGACACGAGGCAAGGAGCCCACCTTTGTGCACTTTGTGGCTTTGCCACAGGAGCCAGGCAGTGGGGCCAGTTGCCATGAGTGTGCTGAGGGCACCGCAGCCCCCCCGGCCCCCGCAGCCTCACGCAGAGCTGACATGATAAGGCGAGCTGCTGAGCACCAGCCGCACCTGCTCGCCGAGACGGCACCCCCACCCCCCCGCTCCCCTCTTCGGGGCAAAATCAAAGGGATTTTTCTGCCCTTAGGAAATCAGATAAAGGCTTCTCACCTGCCCCGCGCTGCCTTTGCGAGGAGGCCAGGCGCTAGGGGCGGAGGGACAACAGGCACTTTCAACACACCCGCAGATGAGCCGCGCATCGCAGGCAGCTCTGCCGGCAGGGGCTGGACCCCTGGGTCCAGCGTCAGCCTCGCCCAGCCTCAGCAGGGATGTCCCCTGTCCCCGAGCTACTCGTTGCAGACTATCCCCCTAGATTAGAGGTGCCGGGGTCCCTGTAGGACAGCTAGCGTGGAGACTGGCGGGTGAAGGCAAAAGGCAACGGGGACAGGGCATGGTGCAGCAGCCCAGATGCAGTGCCCTGCTCAGGGACTGAGCCCGTGTCCCTGTGTCCCCATGTCCCCATACTGTGGCCAGGACAGCTTAGTCCACGTCACCATGCCAAGGGTGCAGATCAGGAGCCCATTTCCTGTGTGGGAGAGCAGAGAAAGAGCAGGTGTGAATCCTCCAGAGGTGGTGGGAGTCTCTTACCTCTTGTGCCCAGGAGGGAGAGAATTGTGCCAAGCTGCAGATCGAGCCTGAGTCATTCACCACTGAATGCTGTTAGCAGGGAGCAGACATGCCCAGGTGAAGGGATGAAACTGCTGGAGATCAAGGCAAGGGGAACAGTTATGGGCAAGCCAGGGGCTTGAGATGGGCAGGCTATGGGAGGCCATAAAGGGGGACAGAGCACAGATAGCTGCTGGAGGGAAGGGTGGTCCCACCATCAGCAAGAGTGCTCTGCTTTGCCCATCATGGGTGGAAGACACCTCCTTTTCCCTTGGACTAGCCCAATGGGCTGGCTGTTTGCTCAGTGGAGCTGGGTACAGAGATCAGGTGAGACTCCCCCAGGGTAGATCCTCTCCCAGGATCCATGGCTCAGATGCTGCAGGGCTGGGAGCTGCATCCCCAACCTCTGCTGGGTGTCATAAATGATACAAGAGGAATCAGAGATGCAGAGCTCTGGACTGAGCACTGGAAAACCATTCCTGAGGCTCACCTGTGGGGAGCATTCGTGTGGCAGGCTATGGGCTCCTCCTGTCCCCAACTGCACAGCCCTTGTGTGGCCCCCTGCTACATTCTGGGCACGTCAACTTCCTCCTGCCCCAGGCAGCTCCTGCTGCTCCTCCTGTTATGATCTGATGCTGGGGACTGTGTCCATTCTGGGTCCTGCCTGTACCTGAAATGAAATTACTGTAAACAAGGTGTCCCTCACCACACTCTTCTCCTGGTTCTCCTTGCTCCTAGGGGTGGCTCAATCATACTTCTGCGTGTCCCTCTGGCTCAGGCGTGTCTCTCCAGGGTGTTGGGAGATGCTTGTGAGGGGTCACTGCTCCAGCTTTCCCAGGTGGGACAGACTGGACTGAGGACAGGCAGGGTTATGGAGCCAGGGTTGTGCCAGGCGAGCCCAGTCAGGGACAGGGGCCAGGCAGGGCTGTGCTGGGGGCAACACAGGAACGCCAGGTTTGGGTGTCAGGGTCGGGCAAGAGTGTGACAGGAAGGTGTCGGGGACACCTCGAGTCCAGGTCGGGCTTGACAGGGCTGCGGCAGGACCCCGAGTGGAGCCGGGCAAGGCCGTGCCAAGCAGGGCTCTGGCAGGCAGGTCCGTGCCAAGCAGGTCCGCAGCAGGTCCCGGGGCTTCGAGGGCAGGGCTGTGCCAGCCAGATCCGCAAAAAGGGCTGAACACTCAAACGCGGCGGCGGGACGCGGGGCCAGACAGGCTGCGGCCACGGTCCTCTACCGGTGGGTGCCTGTGCCCACATCGCGTCCGTGCCTCTGCGCTGGGAACGGAGCCTGGCACCCGGGAGTCCCCCCGCCCGGCCCGCCCTGTCCGTCCCCCGGGCTCCGGTTTCCCTGTCGGAGCAGATGCTTTCGCAGCCCCGTCCCTCCTCCTTCTCCGGAGCAGCCTCCGCGCCGCGCTCCAGCCGCCCGGAGGTGCCTGCCCAGCCCAGCCCAGCCCAGCCCGGCCCGGACGGCCCCGCCGGCCGCGCTGCCTGCCCGGCCCGGCCCGGCCCGGCCCGGCGGAGGCGGACAGCGGGCACCCACCGCCGGGGCCCCCGCCGGACCTCGGCGGTGCCCGGCTCCCGGCCGGTGGCGTGCAGCGAGTTCGACGCTTTCCTCAGTCCTGGCAGGATGCTGCCTTCCTCCCGGACCCAGCTGGGGCTCTTCTTCATCCTCCTCTGCCCCGCTAACATCATCGGGCTCTGGTGGTGAGTAGGACATCCCGGCGGGGGGGTGGAAAAGCAGGAGGGCATGCAGGGCATCTCGATCATCGGGGGTGGTCCCCCCCCCGGCTTGGGGACAAAAGATTCCCCTACACCCGGGCACCACTTGGGTTGGAATTGTTGCTCACTGGCTGTTCTGATCCAGACCCGGCACCCATATACTGTCAGGGTTTGGGGACACAAGTGCGCTGGAGGCAGTAAGCTGGGGGATCCCCAGGAGTATAGGGTGCACAGGTCCTGTGGTGGGAGTTGCACTTTGCCTCCCTGCACCCCCAGCCCACTGCCTGGGAGACTTGTATGCCTGAGGGGTGGGCAAGGGGGCTTAGTGGCTTCCAGACCCCTTCAATAAGTCAAATTTAATTAAAAGCCTTAGGGTCCCTACAGTGTCCCCCCTGTATGGTGGCCTGGACACAGCAGGGACAAAACCCCTATTTGTAATGGTGCCCTCATCAAAGGCAGAGACGGTGCCTTGCAGGATACCAGAGGGGGTGGGGGATTCATTACAGGCACAGAACTGGGACCCAGCCTTGGAAAGCCCAGGTATCTGTCGAAACATGAACTATTTAAATCTATTAAGAATTTCACCCAGCCTGTCTTTATCCGGTTTTAAGTGCTTAGATTCCAGCTCCCCGGCGTGCCGTCCGGGCTATCATTCATTATCTGAGGCTATTCGTCTCCACATTGTCACACTCTTTTGACCCCTAAAATAAAGCTCTCCATAAGCCTTTCCCCTCACGGTCCCCTGCCTGCCCACCAGTGATTTATTCCACATCTCCATTCCCTTTGCTAGCCCTGGCTCCAGGGCTGCACTGGGGGCCTTTGTGAGTATAAATGGTGCTGTTACAGTCAGTTGTACATCAGCTGAGAGTTCGTCCCTGGAGCCCAAGTGCTGTGTTTATTGCCAGGCAAGGGTTTAGCGTGGAGCTGAGAGGAACTTGCCTCGGGTTTTTTTGCTAGAAAACGGGAGACTGAGGTAGGGCAAGTCCTGGCCAAAGCAGGGTGCTTATGGAGGGTCTCCATGCTCTGTACCACCCACATCAGGGTAACTGTGCCATTGCAGGGCACGTGCCCTCCTGCTGCCTGAGACCTGCTGTTTTCCCCTGGCTAATTCTCAAACACACACACAGCTGTCCATGCTTTCTCTGCCCCATCCTCATCAATATCTCCAAGTTCATGCCCTGTGCTCCAGCTTTGAGGACATCTG